ATTAATCTTGTATGATCAAATAAAACGTGGGAGTGCAGATTATTTTCATCACTAAAACAAATGAAATGAGGCAAGAAAGAGGCTACATCCATAAATCATTCAACGATATCTAATTTAGTAAATCGTAAATCCAAATAAGTGAAAAATATATAGAGAAGCCTTAGAAATGTCGGGAGTTGGTAAAGAAAGTTGTAAGCATTATTTTGTAAACAAGAAAGAAGCGAAAAACAAATTAAAAAGGTTTGTGTAATTGTTAAAATGATGATAATATTATACTTTTATTGCGACCAGTATTGCAGGTCAGACATAAAAAAAAAGTCCGTTGTTTATGAAATATACTTGAGACCCTTTTAGGAAGATAAAGTCCAAGCAGCAAAAATCTCCTTGAAAAGTGAAATAATTTCGCAACGAGACTGAACTTTGGTCGAGAATGATTGACAGTGTTACCAAACCCTTTTTGATGAGGTTTGATTAATTATCTCATTAATGAGTTTGATGAGAAATGCCAAACATAACGGTGAAGGAATCATGCGTCACTTCCTCATTCTAAAAAAAAAAATAAAAATAAAAAAAATAAAAAAGTGGTGATGAAGTTTCAATCCCGATCCACGGAAATCTTTATAAATCCATAAAAATCTTCTTAATCGGCCTTTTCTTTAATCAAAGCCACAGCCACCTTACAGCTTTTATTTCGCTCCTAAATATCTGGAGGATTCTCAGTGTCACAGGGCGAGGAATGGAGGCAGCAGCTCTCCCTTGGGGATCACAGGGGGTCGTAACACACTCTCCTCCATACCCCCCCCCCCCCCCGCAATTTCCCTGGCAACCTTCAGGCCCTGCAACTGTGAAGGCCGAGGTTCAGGGAGTGTTCTGAAGGATTTTCATGTTTCCTGAGAGAAGAATGGCGTCAGCAGAGATGATGATAAGGGAGGTGGCTGCCAGACACCAGCAACCCTTGGTGTCCATTACTTAACCCGGAAAGAGACGCTTATTGATACTGATATTGATATTTATATCTATCTATATATATTTCTGTATACACACACACGATATATATATATATATATATATATATATATTATATATATATAGTATATATATATATATATATATATATAATATATATATATATATATATATATATATATATATATATATATATATATATATATATATATATATATATATATATACATACACGCACACACACACACACACACACACACACACACACACACACACACACACACACACACACACACACACACACACACACACACACACACACACACACACACACACACACACACGCACACATATAATATAATATAATATATATTATATATATATATATATATATATATATATATATAATATATTATATATATGGCATAGTGCAAGAGGCTTAGAGAGACAATTAGGGTATCAGAAATGGGAGGCTGGGAAATTTAGATTTAAAAGAAATTGCATCTGCTTGTTCCTTGTGTGAAAGCGTTCTCCTTTTGTTCCATTTTGAATTCAGTGCAGCAGCGTGTTGAATTCAGTGCAGCAGCGTGTGCAGCAGCAGCGTGTGAATTCAGTGCAGCAGCGTGTGCAAGCAGCGTGTTCCATTTTGAATTCAGTCATTCAGCAGCAGCGTGTTCCATTTTGAATTCAGCGTGTTCCATTTTGAATTCAGTGCAGCAGCGTGGTCGGTATTACACCCAGGAAGAGACTCTCCTTAGTATGTATTCCTGGACGCTAATACGAAATAGTGTGGGAGTGTGAGGAGAGGCTATTGGGTGATTAGAAAGGCAGTGATCGGAAGTGTGTGAGTGTAGCAAAGGCCTGAGTGAACGAAGATTATTGCAAGCCAAGTCACTTGTATCGACGTGTTCTGTGACTGGTTGCTATTTTGCCCCAAAAAGCTTGACCGTGGAGAGAAGATGGCAGTCGGACAACGAACTCCGTCTCAGAAGGGTGCATGGATGCCGACTGGAAGGCGAGTTCACCGGCTGTTGAGTCATTACTATTTGCAACAGACGGAAACTGACAGGTGAGAAATCAGCTGTGAGAGTGCGAAGTGGCGGCTGCAAATGTCTTATTGTGGGAAATGGGGTGTGAACTCCTCCTTCGTTAACTAAAGACTCTCCGGTAGTGAAATGACTGACATGAGTGACGGCTGGTGCAGTGCCTTGTTATTGTACATTATTGTTGTCCCTTTAAATAGTGATGCTAAGGTGTGTAAGTCTATGAGGATGACATGCAGTGACGTGCAGTGATGATGAAGTGTAGTGACCTGCGAAATTGTGTGCTTGTGTAAGACCGGACCTGGTGTAGATGATGATACATGATGAGCTTCGTGTTCATTCATGACAAATCTCGTGCCTCAAGTGTCCCGATTATTTGGCCCAATGCCTTGCTGTCCTGTCCATTTTGGCATTCTACGTATTTTGCATATAAACCCATTATATTTTTGCCCTACGTTGATGTTCTCGCTGGACCGGACTACCTCACCAACTTCGGTATGTTCAAGTGTTTAGCTGCATCGAAGTAGTAGCTGGTTGTAGCAGCGAGACCCTGGAGGCGTAAATGTTTTCTGTTTATCTTCTGAGTGCCAATACTAGGCGATGGAACTCCTCTATTGTACCCTTGCCATTTTACAGGCAAGTGAAGTGAAGGAAATTTGTAGTGAACAAAGATGATGAGCTATTTTGTCATATCTAATGAAAGCCAATGCTGGGAAACAATGAAATCATGGAAAGTGTGTTGTATTCCCATGGAGAGGAGTGGCTAATAATTGGATCCCGTAGAAATTAAAGATATTTTTTCAATATTTGAATTTGATCAAATGGTATAAATAAAGTAAACTGAAATCGTACAATAGAATTATAAAGAAAGGAACTTTATTAGTTCAGATATCAATAAACCTTTAGGTATTAATATCTTCTATAACTATTTTCTATGGTTCATATATTTATTGATTAGATATACATGATTTGACAGACACGCTTACACTTCCTTATTCAATTGTTCGTTATTTGACGGAGAATTTACACCTCCCCTTTTTAAGTGGTCTTCATTTGACACAAAGGCTTACACTTCCTTAAGTGTTCTTGATTAGACAGAGTTCACGCATCTTTTTAAGTATTTTTGATTAGACAGAGCTCATGCTTCTCTTTTTAAATGTTCTTGATTAGGCAGATTTTACGCTTTCGCTTTTTAAGTGTTCTTGATTAGCCAGATTTTACGTTTCTCCTTTTTAAGTGTTCTTGATTAGCAGATTTTACCTTTCTCCTTTTTAAGTGTTCTTGATTAGCCAGATTTTACCTTTCACTTTTTAAGTGTTCTTGATTAGCCAGATTTTACGTTTCTCCTTTTTACGTGTTCTTGATTTGGCAGAGAGGATTATACTTGGAGTCACAAGAAACATCGTGGATTAGGAAGCCGTCATTGCTGAAAAGATTGGCACAGTTCTCCCGTAATTCGCCTCTTGGCTCGCGAGCGCTGTCGGAAAAAAAAAAAAAAAAAAACATGTGAGCAGAAAAGGCAAATAAAAAGCGCAGTTCCTCAGTATCTTTGCTGTGTGTTTCGGTGCTTGTGAGCGAGTGTATAAGTAAAAGACATCATGACTGTTTACTTTACTTGTGATGCGTGTATGTGACGTATGGTTATTAATCATTGCTGTCATTTTCTCGAGTGAATTTGTTATTCAGAGTTAAGAATGACTTACTAATTATAGTCTCCCCAAAAGGGCGTTCCTCTCGGCATGTCTTCCCCGTTGAGCCACTTCCATTCCCCCTCGAGGGAGACGTCGCTTCCGCCCACCCAGACATGGGCGGGGTTCGACAGGCCTGGGAGAGGGAACACCAGATGGCTCAGTTATTGCTGGCATAGAACTTGAAGTTGCCGTGTCATGAATTGCTCCTGTCGCGTATTTGAAAATTGCCGAATACCTACTAGACTGAATATTCAGTACTTGTTAGCACATTAGACATTAGTTGCAACCGAATTTAGTACATGGCTTTGTTCAGTAAGATTGATATGAAATTCACTAATCGACAATACATGTTATACTTGTCGAAGTAATTAGATCACGCGTGTTTAAAATGAAAATATTCAATAAAAACTATCATTATCAGGATGCTCTTCACAATCACCGCAGCACCTATTGTTATTGTTATCAAATATTGTTATCAAATAAAATTTCCATAATCTAGTGGCTTTTCTCCTGACGTGAAGTTGGAAATCACTCGCCTGAAGCTTTGGCGTATCCAATAGCCTCTGCGAACGCGTTGGCGTCGCGGAACACGGCCAAGTCTCCTCCCAAGTCCTGGCAGAAGACCCGAGCAACTTGCCAAGTTACGAAGGTGTCTTTCGCAAGGTACAAACAAGTTCCGCCAAATCTGATGAAGTTTCCTGGGCAGGGTGTTTCTGCAAGACGTAGAGAATGCCT